CCCTCCTCCTCCTCTCCTCCTCCTCCTCCCTCCTCCTCCTCCTCCTCCTCCCCCTCCTCCTCCTCCTCCTCCTCCTCCTCCTCCTCCTCCTCCTCCTCCTCCTCCTCCTCCTCCTCCTCCTCCGGCGCTGGCCGTGGAGGGGGGGGGGGGGGGGCAGTTTTGCAGACGCGAGCCAGGTTCTGGAACACCTGGAAGTCTGCTCGATCACCCTCAACAACCCGGAGTACGCGGCTGGCGTGGCGCAGCGGCACGCCTGGGGCCGGAAGAACCTGCGACTTGGTCTTCGTGTTCGTCACATGTTTGATCTGGTGGCTTGTCATGTTGTCTTCCGGAAGGTGGCAAGCCATACCGGGCAATGTTTGAACGAGCGTGCTGATCATTCGGCCTACTGTGGCGCCAATGGAATCTTATGTGGCCCTGCTGATGTTCATCGCTGGGCCGGCCTTATTGGTTAACCAATTGGTTGTCAGAGGGCAGGAAGCCCCTGTCCAGTCTCCCTACTCACCCTCAACAACTTCATTTCGCATGTCGAGTCCGAACTGCTCCAGCATGTCAAGTGGCTTCCGATTGCAGCAGCAGACAGATCGGCGAAAGCGGGGCTTGATCGCATCAGCGCAGTGAGCTTCGATGTCTCCATGTTCCACCACACATGTGATCGGTGTGTCCCGGGTTTCTCTCCGCTCGTCGATGTCGCGGACTCCTTTAGTGCAGTTTCTTACGTCGCGTGCGACGGTCATCGCTATGAACAGCCAACGTGCATTATTATTCGAATATTTCACAACGGGTTTTTTGGGGAGATCAGCGCGGCGGGGGGAGGCAGGTTGCTCGGCGGGGGGGGCGAGGGGAAGCACAAGATGGAGATGCTAAGATGACGCGCCGTCGCGCGGCTTGAGCAGGCAACCGGATGACGATAAGCGATTTGGCTCATCTGCCCAAAAAGCTGTCGTGAGATGGATTGATCGCTGCCGTCACTTCCGTCCAATCATTCGGTTGCCCACCGCGTGGAAGGCGGTGGGCCAGGAAATGCCTGTCGTGATATCCGACCAGATCGCCTTCCAGTGCGCGTGGCTGCTCGCGTGCAAGAACGGGCGCAGCGTCGTCGATCTTACGCTTACTTAGGTGTTGTTGGCGCAGCGGCTATGGCGGGGCAAGCGAGGATTCCCTTTGGCGTCTTCTGGTGTCCCGGGTCTTCCATGTGTGTGCGCGCGAGTTTCGATTGCTGCTTGGCTCATTCGTCGTAGTCGCGCCGTTCGTGATTGACTGCGCCAGTGCCACTTTCAAGCACGCGCAGAGCCAATCATGGCAGCAATTCTTCAAGGGTGTCGTTAAGGCCCGGCCTTCTTCATAGCTGTCGTCGAAGAGATATTTGCTGCATGTTGGGAATCATGCAAGAAACTCGTCGTGTGTGCGTGTGTGTGTGTGTGTGTGTGTGTGTGTGTGTGCAGCGTGTCTTTACTAGCCCTTGCTATGCACGCAACGCGGGATTGTGTTCGTCGTACCCGTCGTATTGCAAACAGCTCCTGGTGTACAGCGACAACGCATGTATACCCGTGGAGGCAGTCACACATGCACATGCTATCCATACTCTGTTTGAAGACGCGTTGGCCGAAGACGGCATGAGTCTGCCAAAGAGCCGAACGTACCAGGACCCCAGTCAGACCAACAGTTCTCGGCCAGAGGCACTGGGATTGCCCTGCAACGCAGTCCTCTTCGACGCCGGGTGGTCCAGCCGAGAACGCACTTGGCAGCACAGAATATGACATTCGATGCAAAACGTCTTCAGTAAGCCCGGGTAATGCAACAAATTGTGGTCAATTGTCGTTCACCGAGCGCGTTCCACCACTCGCAGAGTGCCTGCTCGCAAACGTCCGAAAAGCACGTGTCCGTTTCGATGTAACTTATCGTAGATCCCCTGCGGCGGATCCAGGCCACTTGCCAGTGGCTACTGTGCTAGTATCGAGGCCCGATTTCTGACCACATCCACCCCTGGATCCTCGATTCTACGATAGGCCCTCGGGGGTGGAAGTGGGTCGTTTTTCCTTCCCCTGGGGCGGGGAAACTGCCCACCTCCACCTCTGGAAACCGCTCTTCGCAAGGCACCTCGGGAAGTGGGTGTGGTCAGAAATCGGTCTCCTGTAGTAGCGGAACGCGCCTGCCAAGTCGTGGCAGTCGGGGGAGGAGGAGGAGGAGGAGGAGGAGGAGGAGGAGGAGGAGGAGGAGGAGGAGGAGGAGGAGGAGGAGGAGAGGAGGGAGGAGGAGGAGGAGGAGGGAGGAGGAGGAGGAGAGGAGGAGGAGGGAGGGAGGAGGAGGAGGAGGAGGAGGAGGAGGAGGAGGAGGAGGAGGAGGGAGGAGGAAGGAGGAGGAGGAGGAGGAGGAGGAGGAGGGGAGGGGGAGGAGGAGGAGGAGGAGGAGGAGGAGGAGGAGGAGGAGGAGGGGGAGGAGGAGGAGGAGGAGGAGGAGGAGGAGGAGGAGGAGGAGAGGGAGAGAGGAGGAGGAGGAGGAGGAGGAGGAGGAGGAGACGTGGCGGGTGAAATCTCGCCCCTCGCGCCTCCGCGGGCCCTGGGCCTCGGGCACCTTCCGCTGGCAGGGCCGTGAGTTGGAGAGCGCTCCGCAGCGCACCCCCCGCGAGGCCCAGAGGCGCACGTCTTCGCGAAGCGCCTCCGCCTCCCTTAGTATCAGGAGGGGAATTCTTTAGTTGTGTGCCCCAGCTTCCCTCCCTTAGTAGGGGAACAACAAGTGGGCCTCGGGCGCCGCCGCTGGCAGGGCCGTGAGTTGGAGGAGAGCTCCGCAGCGCACCCCCGCAAGGCCCAGAGGCGCACGTCTTCGCGAGGCGCCTCCGCCTCCCTTAGCACTTGGCATCGCTCGGACGGGTGCACTTGTTTCCTTCGGCGAGGACCCTCGAGGAGCCTCCTCGATCCTTCGGCGAGAAAAAACCACGCACGACACCGACAAAAGGCACAGGGAAGGGACGTCCGAGCGATGGCGAGCATGGCGGGTGAAATCTCGCCCCTCGCGCTTCAGCGGGTGAATCTCGTCCCTCGTCCCGAGCGCATGTATCAGGAGGGGAAAAAACACACACACAGACACAATTAATCGGCGATTCCCCAGAAAAGATGGGAAAGTATGGGAAGTGGGGGGGAAGACAAGAACCCAGAAGATATGGGAAGCCATGGGGTCTTTTATTTGTGTGTGCATTTATTTGTGTGTGTCCCAGCTTCCCTCCCTTGGTAGGGGAACAACAAGTGGCACAAACATACAAACTCGGAGGTCCGCGCGGAGTTCTCGGCTCGGCGCTCCGAGGTTCTATGTCTGTGCCACTTGTTGGTCCCCTACTTAGGTGCGAGGTGGAACTGGGGGAGGAGGAGGAGGAGGAGGAGGAGGAGGAGGAGGAGGAGGAGGAGGAGGAGGAGGAGGGGGGAGGGGGAGGAGCAGGAGGAGGAGGGGGAGGGGGGGGAGGAGGAGGAGGAGGAGGAGGAGGAGGAGGAGGAGGAGGAGGAGGAGGAGGAGGAGGAGGAGACGTGGCGGGTTCCGCAAGCACGGCGGCAGCACGGAGCGCCCCGCGAGCAGAGCATGACAGGCACCGAAGATCGTCGACCTCGACGTCGTAGTCGCTCGCGGGGATTCACCGGGGAGGAGGAGGAGGAGGAGGAGGAGGAGGAGGAGGAGGAGGAGGAGGAGGAGGAGGAGGAGGAGGAGGCGCGCCGGCATATCGCCAGGCATTTGCCGGAGGAAGCCGAGGCGTCCTCATCAGCCAAGCTCCGAAGTGGCACGAGGCCGCAGTTCTTCAAACCCTCCGCCCTGCTTCGGGCGGGCGCCGTGGCCGCCAAGGTCTTCCGAGCAGTGCAATACTCAGCATTGATATGCCAAACTACCAGATGTTTGTCCTTCGGGTTCCAGGCACGCAGGCGCGCGCGTTCGCGTGGAACGCGCCTTCCAGGCAGCGGTTCGAACGTGGCTCCTGCTGGAACGCAAGAGAAGTTTGCGAGGGGTATCACCGGGCGCGCTCCACTAATCGCACAGTGCCTACTCGCAAACGCCCGAACAACACAATCGCAAATCCTCCGCGGCGGATCCAGGCCATTCGCGAGCAGTGATGTTGCAAGTGGTGGAACGGGCTTGCCTGGGGTAGACTGGTTCGAGGAGGCGCAGGGCCGTCGCAGATGGAAGGCAACAGGAGCAGCTTTTCCGAAGTGCTGTTCCAGCTGGGTTTTTCTAGCATTGATGCAGGTGTCGGTCCCACGGGCCTCTCCTCACACAGTATTTACCCACGTACATACATACACCTTAGGCGATGCTTAAGAAAACTTAAGTTTTCGGCCAGAGTCTCGATTATTCTTAACGTTTCAATGTAAATCTTGAGATTTTCATGGAAACGTTGGGTGTTTATTCAAGTTCTGAGACTATGAATTTCTTAACCCATGATTTCTTAAGCATTTCGCAGGGTGTACATGCTCCCTCTTGGGCGGTCTCTGGGGCAGCCGTGGACCTTCGCGGGGCCATTCTGGGCCGACGCGGAGCGCATCCGACACCAGAAGAGGCGGCTCTCCGGCTCCTCGCCCGCCTTCCGCCCCCCCTCCGTCGCCTCTCTCTCCGCCCCTCGCCCCGTTCCCTCGCCCACGCCCCCTCCTCGCCCCTCCCGTTCCCTCGCGCCTCCCTCTCCGGCTCCCTCCCCCTCGCCCCTCTCTCCGCCCCCCCCCCCTCCCGCGCGCCGCGGTCCCGCCTGCCCCCCCCCCCCTCTCGGCGGAGGGAGGAGCGACACCAACACCACGAGGGGGGCCCCCTCCAGCGAGGAGGTCCACGATGCCTCCCCGAGCTGGAGGCCGGGGATGCCTCGAGCGAGAGGGGGGACCACACCACCAGGGAGACCTCCCTCTCTCCTCGCACCTCCTCGCCCTGGTGGTGTTGGTGTCGCCTTTCCTCGTCCCCCCCCCCCCTCGTCCACAGGCTTCGACCAGGGAGGGCCGCCCAAGGGGCGCCGAGCTCCTCGCCCGCGCGGTCGCGCGCGCGCGCGCGGCGGCTGCCTCGGGCGGGCGCCATGCCGACCGTCAGCGTGTACCAGGAGAACCGCTGGAGGGAGGAGGAGGCAGGAGGAGGAGGAGGAGGCAGGAGGAGAAGGCAGGGGGAGGAGTAGGAGGAGGAGGTGGTGGTGGAGGAGGAGGAGGAGGATGAGAAAGAGGAGGATGCGAGACGAGGAAGGGGAGGAGGAGGAGGAGGAGGAGGAGAAGGAGGAGGAGGAGGAGGAGGAGCAGAAGGAGGAGGCGAAGAGAAGGAGGCAGAGGATAGGGAAGTCCCCCTGGAGGTCTCTGGAAGTTCCACGGGGCGGTTTCCGGAGGCCCGGGAAGAGCCACGCACTCGGCCCTCGGAGCGTCCAAGAACTTCGAGACTCGCGATGCCAAGGCGCCTCAGCACCTCGACGCTCGAGGAGGACAACCGAGGAGGAGGAGGAGGAGGAGGAGGAGGAGGAGGAAACAGGAGGAGGACGAGGACGAAGATGACAGGGGCGAGGACGCGGACGAGGAGGGAGGGGGGAGGATCTAGGGGGGTGGATGGGGGACGGTTTGGGAGGATTCAGTGAGAGAGCGACGACGAAGGGTGGAGGAGGAGGAGGAGAGAGGAGGAGGAGGAGGAGGAGGAGGAGGAGGAGGAGAGAGGAGGGAGGAGGGAGAAGGAGGAGAGGAGGAGGAGGAGGAGGAGGAGGAGGAGGGAGGAGGAGCAGGAGGAGCAGGAGGAGGGCAGGAGGAGGAGGAGGAGGAGGAGGAGGAGGAGTGCAAGTGCGCGCGCGCGTGTGTGTGTGTGTGTGTGTGTGCTGCATGGTGCGAGGTCTGTGTGCTGTTCCAACACCTGACACTACTGACACGTTGTAGCCGGCGCGCGCGCGCCCGGTGGACCGACGAAAGGCCAGCGGCCAGGCCCAGCCCGCGACGACGAAACAAGCATGTGTGGACACACACACACACATATACACACATATGAATATATACATACACATATATATACATATATATATATATACATCTCTATATATATATATATATATATATATATATATATATATCGGGCGACCCCGCCGAGGGGGCCCAGGGCCGCGACCTTGTCGGCAAGTGTGTGGCCCGGGTGTCGGGCCCGCTCTTCGGGGGCCCAGAACCGTTTTCGAGGAAGAAGCTTGTCACCTCCAAGACGGCCCCCAGGGATGCCAGACGGCTAAGAGAGGTCCCAGACGCCTCAGGAGAGAGAGGTTCTCACAACGACCCCGGAGGCCTCCGGCGACTCTCCCGGGGCATCTCTGACAAGCCGACGACCTTGGAACACCCAGAGGAAACTGTCGCTTTGCGCCGCCTCGCCGCCTCCGATGGGCTGCTGACGCTTCGAGATCGCTCCCAAGAGGCCCCGAGAGGTCCCCGGTAAGCCCCCCAAGCGCCCCGACAGGGGCGCTTCCGAGAGGCGTCAGACAGCCGCCCAGGCTGCCCGGGACGGCCCTGCGTAACCCCCAAGGCGGCCTCCAGGGGCCTCAGACGTCTCATGAGGGGCCCCAGACGCCGAAAGGGACGCTCAAGGCAACCTTAGAGGGCTTCAGGAGACTCCGGGGCGCCGCCGTCGAGCCAAGAGCCTCGTCCAAGCAATGGGACATCTATAACGTTTGCCGCCTCGCCGTTTCGCTTCCACGGGGCTGCGGCGGCCTCACGCTCGCCGCACTAGAGGCCCCAGGACGCCCCCAGAGCGCCCACGAGGCACCAAGAAGCCCCACGACGCCCCCAGCGGGGGCCCAAGACCGCCCCCCGAGAGGAGTGAGACAGCCGTCCAGGCTGCCCAGGACGGCCCCGAGTCGCCCCCAAGACTGCCTCCAGGGGTCTCAGGCGGCTTGTGAGAGGCCCCGGACGCTTCAAGCGACGCTCAAGATACATGCGTCCCCTGCTCATTTCGGCACACGCCTCACACGGTTCGTGGCCCCATAGGTAGCTCCACCGACGGCCCCAGTGGCGCAGTCCGCATGCGCCCCCCAAACTCATGTCGGCACGCCCCCCCCCGCCCATTCGGCTTGCTCCTCGCACGCTGCGTGGTCCCATCAGCGAGCTACATCGAAGGCCCCAGTGGCAGTCGGAGGTTGATAGACCTCCTACCCTGACATGTCGATTAGTGAATTGGCCGCTCTCGGTTCGCGAGAGGGCATCGCGGCTGTCATTTTTGCGGGTCCAGGTCCGTCGGTGTCAGTCCCAGGCCGTTGTTGCTAAGGGCAGGTTTCATTAAGGGAAGTTTGTCCACCGCCGAAGCAGGTTCAGCGTGCTCCCACTCTCAGGAGGGAAAAAAGCACACAGACACAATTAATCGTCGATTCCCCAAAAATATAGGAAAATATGGGAAGTGGGGGGAAAGACGAAAACCCCCAAAATATGGAAAGATATGGGGAACCCTTTTATTTGTGTGTATTTCTTTGTGTGTCCCTGGGCCCCTTCATTGGTGTTGGAGTGGCATTGTGTTGCCCCAGGTATGGCACTGCTGTCTGGCCATGTATCTGTGCTTGATCGAAATGATCTGATCTTGCGCTGCCTGGTGAAATGCACACTGCAATCGTGTTCCTGTTGCATGCCTGCAGCCTGGGAGGTGCGGCGAGGAAGGCGGCTTGTCCCGTGGAAAAGCGGGAGACGTCACCGACGATGTCGACATGCAGGCCTTCTTTTTCAGGAGGGGGAAAAGCACACAGGCACAATCAATCGGCGATCCCCAGGGACATAGGGGAACACATGGACACTGGGGGGGGGGAAACACGCCCGGCAAAGATGGAAACATATAATGAGGGACTCCTGGGTACTTGTAGGTATTTGCCCGTGTGTCCTTGGGCCCCTTGGCTCTCGTGCGTGCCGCGAGTGGGCTCGGCGAGCCCGCTGGCGCCTCCCCCGCTCGTCCTTGGGCCTCTTGACTCTCGTCGAGCCCGCTCGTCGTCGAGCCCGCTCGTCCTTGGGCCCCTTGACTCAGGAGGGGAAAAAAAACACAGACACAATTAATCGTCGATCCCCCAGAAAATAGGGGAAAAGATGGGCATTGGGCGGGACGACATAAGCCCAGCAAATGTGCGAAAAGATGGGGATTATTTTATTTGTGTATATTTATTTGTGTGTCCTGGGGCCCCTTCATTGACTCGCGTCGAGCCCGCGGGCGCCTCCCCCGCCCGCGGAGAGCAGGGCAGGGGCACACGGGGCGCCGCAGCCGCACCCCCCCGCGAGGCCGGGCCCGCCCCCCTCCTGCCGTTGGTGGGCGGGGGGGCGGCCCGTCCCGGCGCTCTGCTGGTGTTAGAAAGCCAGGCCAGCCACAACTGGGGGAGCTGAGGTCCAGGAGGAGGAGGAGGAGGAGGAGGAGGAGGGGGAGGAGGAGGGGGAGGAGGAGGAGGAGGAGGAGGAGGAGGAGGAGGAGGAGGAGGAGGAGGAGGAGGGGGGTGATGACCAGGGGTGTGTGTGGATCTCGTGGCGGGGGCCATGATTTTTCCCCAGATCTCATGGCGCCTCTTCTGGTTTCATCACGGCCCTGGCCCCCCCGCTGGGCCGCGCACATGCCGCCGGTCATGATTTGCACCCCCCCCTCTTGGACACCCCCCTCTTGGCCGCTCCCGACCTCTGGGGGACCCATCGATTTCGACGTCCCTCTCGAGAGATCGTCGATGCGATCGGTTCCCCCAGGGGGGTAAGGACCACAGCTCCCCCGGTTGTGGCTGGTCGGAAAGCCTTGGCTCTCTACAGACTGTTTCCCCCCTGAATGACGAAAAGCCTTCCAAAGCCCTCCTGGAACCCTCCGAAGAGCATCCCAGAACCCTTCCGGGAGGGTGTTCGGAGGGTTTCGCGAGGGTTTCGGCTGTTTTGGAAGGAATCCGGACTCTAGCGAACCCTGGACTTTCTTGTACTAGTGGGAACATGTATGCATCCTCCGGTCGAGGTCGGTCAGAGTTCGAACCGTTCGAACCATTCCAGGGTGACCTGAATTGGGGTGGGCGGATGGGGGAGGGAGCGGGGGAGGTGGAAGGAGGGGAAGAGACAAGGCGGTGTTCTCAACCGAGGCGCCCCGTGGTTTGGTGTTCCGTGGGGATCCCCCCGCTCATCCAGCAAAGAGTCTCCCGCGCACGCCGCACGGCGTTCTTCTGAATCGAGTTCGGCTGGTACATGACAGCGTCTGTGATGGTCAAGCGTCGGTCGGAGCCAGGACGAGGATACATCTGTTCCAGAGCTTTCCAGGACGCTCTCAGAGCGTTCCGGAACGCTCTGAGGAGGCCACGGCGCCCCCCGAGACATCCTCCAGAGCCGCGGGATCTGAGAGGTTCCCGGATGATCCTCACCGGATGATGTCCTCGTCCTGGCTTCGTCTTACCAATGCAGCGTCTGGGATGATCAAGTGCAGCCAGTGCGCAGAAATGAGGAGCGTCTCGAGTTCGAAAGGGTCCGGTCGTTCCTCGAGCTCCCTCCAGCTGCTGCTCCTTCAGCGCTCCTCGGGCGCCCGGGCGATCTATTTGGTCGGATCAGGAGCTTCGCTCCTGTGTCCGTCTTCCTCGTTGGTGCTGTTTGTCTTAGTGGTCGTTTTTTATGCAGTGTCTTGCCGATCGGCGCGGGCCCTCGCACCCTCCCCCCTCCCCGGGGCTGAGGCTCTCGCTCCCACCAAGGGAATCCACCTTCCCCTCCTTCTCCTTCTCCTCCTCCTCCTCCTCCTCCTCCTTCCTCCTCCTCCTCCTTCTCCTCCTCCTCCTCCTCCTCCGTCCTCCTCCTCCTCCGTCCTCCTCCTCCCCCCCCTTGGAGCAGATCTTGCCTGTGTTTGGCGCCTGCTTCGAGCAGGTTGGTGGAGTCTCCCCCAGAGGACGCACCGTGGCAAGAGCGGCCGCACTGGGCAGAGGTCTGGGGCCAGATCCCCCACTCCTCCTCCTCCCCCTTCTACTCTCCTCCTCCTCCTCCCCCCTCGCCTCCTCCTCCTCCTCCTCCTCCTCCTCCTCCTCCTCCTCCTCCTCCTCTTCCTCCTCTCCTCCTCTCCTCCTCCTCTTTCTGCTCCTCCTCCTCCCCCTCCCCCCTTCCGCCCAATGTCGAAACGCCGAACGTAGGGGAACGAGGAATGCCATAAACATAACAACTCGGAGGTCCGCGCGGATTTCTCGGATCGGCGTTGGACCCCCCTCCCTGGCGCGCGGAGCGCGCCAGGGGCGGCGCCCGAGGCGCCGCCGGGGGGCCCCTGCGCCGATCCGAGGCATCCGCGTGGACCTCCGAGTTTTTATGCTCATGCCACTTGCTGTTCCTCCAGGGTAAGAATGCGCTCACTTAGGGGCACAGGCAGCGACATGAGCAGAGCAACCCGGAGGTCCGCGCGGATTTCTCGGATCGGCGCGGGAGATCCCCCTCCTCTGGCGCGCGTGGGGCGCGCGCTGGGGTCGGCGCCGGAGGTCGCCGCACGGGGGTGGCGCCCCAGTGCCGATGCGAGGAGTCCGCGCGGACCTCCGCGTTGTTATGCCTATGTTTAGGTCGGGCACGTCCCTCTACAGGAGGAGTGCGCAAAAGTAGTCAGAGAGTAGTCTCGGGACGATGTTCTTGCAGTTTTGATCTCTTTCTTTTAGGACTATCTGGAAGTGTTCCGGCAAAAACCCGCCTGTAGGACGGCACGCCCGACCTGCAGTCGGCCCGAGCCTGCCAGCTCAAGGGTACCCTTGTGTCCCATGCCTCGCGACACGTGCCTTCTTATTCTCCTATGGCGATGTGGCCTTCGGAAGGGTCTTGTGTCCTCTCGCGTGTCCTCTCCGATCAAATCCGACTGTAAGTCTGCGTCAGCTCTTTTTCTCCTATGGCTCGGGCTGCCGGCTGTGAGCCCGGCCGGCGGCGGCGCGGGCGGTGACAGCTGCAGCGCGGCCTGGGAGAGGCACGAGCGAGGAGGACGCGCAGCAGCAGGAAAAGGAGCAGGCAGGATGTTCGGCGCGTGCAAGGGGCAGATGGGACGATGGAGGAGGATAGTCAGAGCCCCGAATCATCAGGGGTAACTCGGGTCAGGGATAACTCGGGTTCGTTTTTCGGGAATCCAAACCCGAGTTACCCCGGACCCGAGTTACCCCGGATAACTCGGGCGTCCAGAGCCCCGAATCATCAGGGGTAACTCGGGTCAGGGTAACTCGGGTTCCTTTTTCGGGAATCCAAACCCGAGTTACCCCGGACCCGAGTTACCCGGATAACTCGGGCGCCCAAGATACTGGTGTTCGAAACCGTGGGTTTCTCGGCTGAGTACTTGCGCTCGTCTGCGCTTACAGCTTGCGCGCCACGCATGCGGAAAAGGGGAAGGCAGAACCGCGAAATGGAGGAATGTAGAGATGGATGCGGGTGAAGAATTCGATGTGGACACATGCGGGAGGAGGATGGATAGGGCAGGTCACGGAGAGCATGGGCGAGAGAGCCGAGAGGAGGGAACCGGGAGCGCGCAGTTGGGAGGAGATCGCTGAGGAAGTATGAAGGACTTGGTCGCAGGGAGAAAGGCGGATGGCGGAGGATGCAACGGCAATGGAGGAGGGTGGGAGGGAGGCGCAAAGATATACGAGGAAAAGACGGATGAGGAGGACGACGACGAGGAGGATGAGAGCGGGGGCGAGGAGGAGCACACGGTAGTCGTGGTTGAGGGCTCGGACGAGAAGGGTGGTTTTGTTTTATTTTGATGTTTTCTGTGATGACGATGATGATGACGACGACGGTGACGATGGTGATACGGATATTGTTGATGAAGGTAAGGGTAATGATTGAGGTTGATGGTGATGGCGATCGTGATGGTGAAGTTGATTGATTATGATGATGATGCTGATGATGATGATAATGATAATGTTGTTGATGATGATGATGATGATGATGATGACACTGATGATAATGATGAGGATGATGGGTGCGGTGGCGGTGGCGGTGGCGAGGATGATGCTGTTGATGACGATGCTGCGGGTGTTGATGCTGGTGACGACGAGGCTGATGATGTTCTTGATAATGATCGTGACGATTAAGCTTACGTTGACGATGGCGATGCTGATGATGTTGACGTTGACGAGGGTGATGCTGACCATGATGCTGATGACGATGATGATCATGCTGCTGTTGATCAGGATGATGTTGATGATGTTGATGATGATGATGATCATGATGACGATGACGATGACGACGATGATGATGATGATGATGATGATGATGATGATAACGATCATGATGATGATGCTGATGCTGATGATGATGCTGATGATGATGATGATGATGATGATGATGATGATGATGGTGATGCTGGTGATGCTGATGCTGATGCTGATGCTGATGCTGATGATGATGCTGATGATGATGATGATGATGATGATGATGATGATGATGATGATGATGATGATGATCATGGTCATGATGCCTGCTGTGGTTCAGGCACCTGCCTGTCCCTGTAGCTTCTTGGGAGCACCTGACCGTCGCGGCGATGGTGGTGGTAGGGCGATTCCACTGGGTTCGGAGGCGCATCCTGCAAGGCGCCTGCATCCACATCACGTTCGGTTCGGCCTCTTTGCAGGGAAGGTCCACGGTCAAGGTCGTCATGGATCCTACGGGCCCTGCCATCAGCGCGACGAATAAGAACTTGCTGCGCTGAACATCCTCAACTGCATCGACTGCCCCCTGAGGACGCATGTGGCAGTGGATTGCGGATGTCGGCACCCCGTGGGCGCCAGGAGATTAGGTTGTGGCTTTCTGCTCTCGAGCTGGCCCCACCTCGAGGCTACGGTGCTGATGGCGGAGGTGATGGTCCTGTTGACCCGCGGGCCGATGTTCTTGGTGATGGCCCAGGCTCGGTGATCCAGGACGGGGAGTGGACCTGGTGGTAACGACCCTTGGCACAGAGACGGTGGCGATCCATGACACTGCGCACCTCCTCCGCACATGCCTCCATTCCCGTACGGCGTCGACGCACCCGCGTTCTCCTGCTGGTCGCTTGCCGCTCCTGGCGCTGGTGACCTTGCGCTTCTCGGCGGCTGGCCTCCGGAGGAATCACGAAGTGGCATTGTGGATGAGATGGTTTACAGTGCCGTTTTTTATACGTGCTCCGCGTGCGGATCATGTATTAAAAAATGTAGGGGTTCAGTATTAAACGCAACGATGCGTTCATGCATAAATTTCGTCATACATTAATCATGTTTGGGTAGTCATATATCTTTAAAAAATCCTACGTATTAAGAACTGCCCTGTACGTAGCTGGGTGATATGATGTATCCTGAAGCTCACAGTGGTTTCACCCACGAGGCTGAAACCGCTACTGGCACGTTGCTGCAGGCGCTCGGCTTTCGGGAGGCGGGCGCGGCTTCGCACGGTGGCGCTCTTCACGCTGAGCCCGACGGTCCGACTTTGACGGGTGCGCCAGCAAAGGTGCTTGCGCTGAGTGGCTTTGATGGTTGGCGGCGCGCTCTGTCAGAGCTGGAGGCAGCAACTTCCCGCGGACCCAAGGCGGTTGGTCATCCTCCGTGTAAGCCTGCTGCTCCTCGGCTCTGTGGTAGAGGGGGGCATGCTCTGAGGGGCAGCGCGGTGGACTTCTTGGCTCTGCGACTGCCCGGGCACAGGATGTGATTGCGGGCAGTAAGGATGGCCCTTGAGCCTGTACGTCAACAGGTTCTGCGTGGTCGTGATGGGCGAGTGCATAGGCCAAGTGGAGCGTATCAGCGGGGTGACGGAGACAGAGGCCCAGGTCCAGATGTGCTATGATGAGGTGTGTTCTGTGACGGATGAACGTGCTATGTATGAAGACCGTAAATTCGTTGTGCCTCTGTTGTGATGTCCTCTCGGGTCGGCGGCTCATATAGCAATATCGAACTTGTTCAGATACGGGCACTGGTGGGGGTCCTGAGTGTGAGGCATTTCTCTAACGTGACCACCTTTTGGCATTGGTGGGAGTCCCTGGTTGGTTTGAAAGTTTACCCACTGGCATTAGTGGGTCCTCTGTTCAATGCAAGCGTGTTGTATGTCCGACCTGGGCGGGCGTTTCTTTATATATTGTTACCATGCTCAGCTACTGACGTTGACGGGGTCTTTGGTTTAAGTATCGCAAGGTCACCGTCTAGCATTGGTCGGCGTCCTTATTCTATTTCAAACATGTTTCGCCTATGGCGTTGGTGGTGGCCCCGGTCTATTTCAACTTGGTCTCGGTCTGGCATTGTTGGGGTCTCTGAGTATGTGTTGATCATGCTCTTCTGCTGGCGTGGGTGGGTCTCATACGTATGTCTAACATGTTTTCCGTCTAGCATTAGTGGGTGTTTTCGGCACATTCAAAACATGTCCAGCTACTGGCATTGGTGGGGCCTCCGTTTTTTCAAACGTGTGTTTTCCGCTCAGCATTCGTGGGCGACCTTTGGTATATCTCAAACATTTTCAGCTATTGGTTTCGGTGGGCTGTTGACAATGTATTCCGGATGTTTCGCGCTCACGGCGGGACTGGCCCATCCCACGCGACCTTCCGCTGTTCGCCGACGTTGCGCCTCCCCCCCCGTTTGAAACACGATGTTGCTGATGCTCGTGATGGTGATGATGACGATGATGATGATGATGACGATGATGACGATGATGATGATGATGATGATGATGATGATGATGATGATGATGATGATGATGACGATGATGACGATGATGATGGTAGCGATACTGTTATCGATAATGATGTGGGGTGTGCTAGTGGTGGCGGTGCTGCTTCTGATGGTTATGCTGTTGATCATAAGCATGCTGCTGTTAACCAGACTGGCCAAGATGGCGATTAAGGTGATCAGGGCGTCGGCGCTGACACGCAGGATGTTAGTGATAATGCTGATGATGATGATGATGATGATGATGATGATGATGATGATGATGATGATGATGATGATGATGATGATGGTCGTGGTTGGTGATGATGATAGTGACGATGGTGGTGATGGTGTGGGCAACGGTGACGACGATGATGCTGATTATGATGGCGGTACTGGTGAGGACGGTGGTGTTGCGATTGTTGGTGATGGTAATGGCGATGTTGACGATGGTGGTGACCATGCTGAGGCGGAACACGAGGAGGAGGACAATGACTTGCAGGAGGAGGAGGAGGAAGAGAAGCAGCAGGAGGTTGAGCTGGAGGAGGAGGAGGAGGAGGAGGAGGAGGAGGAAGAAGAAGAAGGCGAGGTGGAAGTCGACAGGCAGGGAGCAGGGTGCGTTACCCCTCCCGCGCCCAGGACTCGCTGGAGGCCGCGATCGGCAAGGAGGACGCCTCCGAGAAGGGCGCGCCGCCCGGCCTCGCTGCTCCACCCTCGGGAAACGGGGCCTGGCTGGACGGCTCCGGCGCCCTGGCTGCGCGCCCTGGTGCCCCCTTGTCCTGTGGGGCCCAGGCCGATACGATCGACACGGCTGTGGGAAATAGGGGCCTGGTCCTCTCCATTTTGGATCGGATGCGCTGCCAGTGTCGCTCGGGCGCCTGGCCCTGTTTTCGCCCTCCTGTGGGCCTCCTGGGAGGCCCTCGTCGTCACCGCCGGGTGCGCCCCGACATTCTGGTCAGAGCGCTCCCTGGGAGATGTCCAGGGAGTAGCGGTATCGGCACCACTGGGCTTCCCAAAGGCCGGGTGCTTTCGCTCAGGGGCGGCCAAGGGTGGAGATGATCAAGCAGTGGCGAAGCGTTTTGGCTCGCCTGCAGGCCTACCAAAGAGTGTTCAAAGAACTTTTTTTTTGGTTTCAACGAAATGTTCTTAGAGCGTTTTGAACACCTCGGGTTTCGGTTCTAAGAGCATTTTTCGTTTTTAGAACATTTGGGGGTTTTCAGATAATTGCGTGGTAGGCCTATAGGAATGCCGGGACGGTCGGTCCCTCCTCTCACCAGATCTGATGGTGCCCCTGCGTATGTCACTGCGCCTCCTGGGGGGGCCTGTGTTCGGGGGAGGCCGCAACACCGCCGAACGTGGCTGTGTTTCAGCCGAGGGCGGCCCAGGCTCGACGCCTAAGGCAGCCCAGTGTTTTGGCTTCCCTGCGCTCGTGGAGTCTGGTTGCGCCAATGCTGCGAATCTTGTTCATCCTGTTAGCCGAACCTGCAGGGTGGGCTTTTGCCACCTGGTCGGATGCAACTCTTGGGAGGTGAAGTTCTGATTTTGCCCTGGTCCGAAACCTGGTTTAATCCGGCTCAATCCCGTTGAATCCGCGGCCTAAGCCAGCGTAGTAGCCCCCCAGTGGGGGTTAGTCCTCTCTATCGCTTCCGACGAAGACCTTCCAGTAGTTGTTTCCTAACAGCTGAGGGGTCACCCCGATCTTCTCCGCACGCCATTTTCCGATGGCCTCTCTGGAGCTCTGCGCGCGATTGCAGTCTAAGCATCCCACCTCCATCCGCTTTCACCTTTTCCACTTCCATCTCCACCTATTGACCTCCGGCCTCCACTTGCTCAGCACTCCGACCTCTAGCATCCAGCAATCGGCTCCCCAGCCCTACCTCCGACGATCGACCCCCAGACACCACCAGCTCTGCACTTCGACCTCCAGCATACAGCGTCCCCCTTTCCAGCACACATTTCTACCTACTGACCTTCAGCCTCCACGAGGTCGGCACCTCGATCGCCTGTTTCCGGCATCCGTCATTCCACCCCCACCTCCACCTAGTGACTGTCAGCCCCTACCAGCTCAGAATCCCGACCACCAGCATGTGGCATCCGACATTCCACCTCCACGTCCACCTATCGATCCCCAGCCTCCACCAGCTCCACGCTCCGAACTCCAAGATCCAGCGTCCGACTTTCCACTGGCATCCCGACCTCCAGCATGCGATTTCCGCTTTGCCACTTCCACCTCCACCAGTCAACCTCCAGCCCCCGGTTGCTCACCACTCCAACCCCCAGCATCCAGCACTCCGACTTCCCACTTCCACCTCCATCTATCGACCTCCAGCTTCCACCAGCGCAGCACCCTGACCCCCAGCACCCGGCATTCGACTTCCCCCTCCTTCTCACCTACTGACCTCCAGCGTGTACCAGTGTCAGCATTGCGACCTCCAGCATCCAGCGTCCGACTATCCAGTTCCACCGCTAGCTGTCGGCCTACGACCTCCACCAGCTCAGCATTCAGACCAACAGCACCCGGCCACAAACGTTCCACTCCCACACCCGCCTATCGACCTGCAGCCTCTACCAGTTCCACACGCCGACCTACAGCCTATCACATCCGACTTTTCACCTCCAGCTCCGCCGTCACCTACCGGCTTCCAGCGTCCACCAGTCCCACATTCCGACGCCCAGCATCCAGCACCTGGCTCTCCACCTGCACCTCCGCCGAACGACTTCCAGCTCCCACCAACCCAGCATCCCGGCTTCAGCATCTAGGGGAACAAAAAGTGGCATAAACATAACAATTCGGAGGTCCGCGCGGATCTCTCGGATCGGCGCTGTTTTTTGCTTTTGCCGTGTTGTTTTATTTTTGGGTTTTTGGTCTTTGGGGCCCCCCTGGCGGGCGCTTCGGCCCCTGGCGCGCTCCGCGCGCCAGGGAGGGGGGTCCAGCGCCGATCCGAGAACTCCGCGCGGACCTCCGAGTTTTTACAGTGGAGACCCATGCCAAGAAACATCCTGGTTGTGTTCAGGGTGCCCTGGGTTTCTGAGGATTCGGTGCTTTGGCGATGGAAAGCGTGACGTTCCCACACGGAAAATCAGTGGACGCCATGGGGTCTCAGGGTTGGGTTTCTTGAGGAAGGTTTCCTGTGAACTGGCCTCCGCTGTATGCTCATGCCACTCTGCGTTCCCCTGGCATCTGGCTTCCGACTCTCCGCTTCCGTCCGCGCCCCCTCGACCTCCCGCGCCCCCAGCATTTGGCCCCCCCCCCGACCTCGGCAAGCAGACGCGACGTGCGCCGAGGGCCCGAGAGGGCCCCGCCCCCGGCGGACCCGTGCGCTCGCTCGCCTCGCCTCGCCTCGCCTCGCCTCGCCTCGCCTCCACATCGAGCCGTATCGGCGATGCAGCGGCGGTGCGGCGCGATCCCCCGACCCCATCTGCGAGAAAGTCGGGCCTGTCCCCCAGACAGGGGGATTCTCGACGAAAAAGAAAAGCAAGATGCCCCACACACGCCCCCCAAAAGGTCAAAACATATTCAAAAGATAGTCCCCAGACCATTTCTGGACTATTTTGGGATTATGTTGGGGGGTATTCTTTATCTTTCGTCGAAAATCCCCCTGTAGGGGGACAGGCCCGACTTTATCGTAGATGGGGTCGGAGGATCGCGCCGCACCGCCGATGCATCGCCGATACGGCTCGATGTGGAGCCTGATTTTCTGCACGCCCACGTTGCTGATGCATCGCCGGCATCACCAGAGCACCGCCGACCGATGCATCGGCGACGCATCGCCGATGCGGCGCGATCCTCCGACCCCACCTACTCCGATTTTATCCAGGAGGCTCCTATTCCATGCGCCGCCTGGACCCCCCACCACTCCCGCGCGTGCTGCGCACGTCCTTCGGGCCATGAGATTTGTGACCGCCCTCCTCCTTTTCGTTCCCCCTTCCCCTCCTCCTCCTCCTCCTCCTCCTCCTCCTCCTCCTCCTACCCCTCCCCCTCCGCCGCCTCCTCCCTCTCCGAAAGAGAAAAATGCGATCCCCCCCCATGGACGCCCCCCCGACTCCAGGACGCCCCCCCCCCGACTCGAGGCCTCGAAGTCTTCGGGGGCGGCTAAGGAAGGGGGGATAGAGAGAGTAGGAAGCTGAGGGTCATCGAAGACGAACAAGCCCCAAATGTCAGCTACTGATCATCGGAGATCAAGAACAAGACACCGCACACATATAAGCTTCTGGCGGTCCGCGCGGACTTCTTGGATCTGCGCCGGTGAGGGGGTCCAGCGCAGGTCCAGGAAATCCGCGAGGAGCGCCAACAGTTGGTGTGTATCGCTATGCTTCTTCTTCTAAACATTCGGATTCAGACAGGCGCTCTGCGCTAGGGTGAGAGCGCCATTCCCGATCCGAACCTCAGGCAAGCGCTGCAACGAGAACGCCATGCGCGGATCTGAGAAAGCCTCGCGGACCGCCAAAGAGTTATGCTTGTTCTGTTGTGTGTTCCTCCAACCCCTTCCCCCGGGGCTGCCGAGTAACCCGCGTAAGCGATTAAGGACCCCCCCCCCCCTCTCCGGTGAAAGGATAACGCACCCGGCACCCGGAAGCGTTATCCTGGCACCAGGAGGGGGTACACCTTATTCTTATTATCATTACAATTCTAATTGGGATGCCACCCGAGGCGGGGCGCTGGAATTATTTATTTTCCTTCCATTTGCGCGGTGCTAATAATATCGCTCGGCGAAAACCCCCCCAAATAATTATTTAATTACGGCGCGGTGCTAATGATAACGCCGGGGGGGTCCTTAATTGCTTCTCCGGGTTAGACCTCGCGGGGCGCGAAACCTTTTTTTTCTCACGTGCGCCAGGGCTCGGAGAGCTCGGGGAGCCACCGAGCCGCCGCTGTCGCTGGCGGCCAGGCGTCGGCGCTGATCACCGGCGCCGCCGCCGTGTGTGTCCAACTCGGCAGGCACCATCCCAGCGATTCGCCCGAGCAGGGGAATCGTTTTTCAAATCACACGCCCCGCTTGTTTTGTTGATCACGAGGCGGCATTAACCCTCCTAGCACAGTGAACACGTGGCCTCACTGAGGTCCCCGTCTCCGCATGACGGATCGTACATCTGGCCGGTTTGGACTTATGTCCTCTCCCAGAGGGTTAGGGGCCTTTTGATTGCTAACCAGAGGGGGATGGAGTGAGGGAGGTGATGTTTCAGCCGTCTTCGTCGGCTCTTGGCGGTGTTCCTGCCTGGTGATGCTTTCCAGCAGCTGCGCCTCGCCGAGAGCATTCCGGGGGTGCCTGGAACGACGTTTCGAACAGCCGCCGGAGACCCGAGTTATGACCCGAAAACCAAAGGGCAACGCCAGGGGGTTTTGTGAAGAGAAGGAGAAGGGATTGTGAGGAAGGAGGAAGGGTGGGGGGGTGAGGGGCGGAGGAGCAGGACGAGGATCTTTGCGACCCCCAATCTCGTGACTACATGCACGCTCGGCTTTCGGCGTCCTCGTCGGATCGCGAGGCTGTGCATATTGTAGCCGTCGATTCTGCGGATGCACGGGTCCGCGCGCGGTTCAAATATGTGTGTCAAGGATGCAGAGAGAGGCTAGGCAAGAGGGAGCTGGAGAAGGCAGATCGGAGTAAGCAAGAAAGAAGAAATCAGCGCCCAGCACCCAGGATAGCCTGGAATGATGCAGAAGGGGACGACGATGATGATGATGATGATGATGGTGGTGATGATGATGATGATGATGATGATGATGATGATGATGTTGATGGTGATGATGATGCTGATAACGATGATGATGATGATGATGATGATGATGATGATGATGATGATGATGATGAAAACGACGACGATGATGATGATGATGATTCTGATGATTATGATGAGCGATGCTGATGATGGTGATGATGATGGTGATGAAGATCATGGTCATCGTGATGGTGACGGTGATTGGATGGTGATTGAGTTGGTGATGATGATGCTAATAATGATGATGATGGTGATCATGATGATGACGATGATGATGATGACGGATCTGGTGATGGTGATTGAGAGGAAAATGGTAAGTGTGATGGTGATGATGATGATGATGATGATGATGATCGTTGTCATGATGATGATGATGCTGATGATGGTGGCGATGATGATCACGATGATGATGATGATGATGATGATGATGATGATGATGATGATGATGATGATGATGATGATGATGATGATGATTATAACGACGAGGCTAATGATGATGATGATGATGATGATGATTGTGATGATGATGGAGATGTTGAGGGTGATGACGATGACGACGAAGATGACGATGATGACGAAAATGACGATGACGATGGTGATAGTGATAACGAGCATGATGAAGATGACGATGGTGATAATGTTGCTTCTGATGGCAATGATGATCACATCGACAATGATGCGTATGATGGTGGTGTTGGTGGTGATGCTGATGATCGATGACCGTGACGATGATGCTGATGCTGGTGATGGTGGTGATGCTGATGCTGCTGATGATGATGCTGCTGTTGATGTTACTGCCGCTGCGTCTGTTGACGATGGTGATGGTGATGACTGTGATGGTGGTGATGCTGGTGAAGATGACGATGATGATGCTGATGATGATGATGACGATTAATCTGACGACGATGATGATGATGATGATGATGATGATGATGATGATGATGATGATGATGATGATGATGACCATGGCGTTGAGGACGATTGTGATGATGATGTGGATGCTGATGGTGATGATGATGATGCTGCTGATGCTGCCGACGAGATTTACCATCATGCTGCTGAAGGTTCTGCTGATGATGAGCCCATGATCATCATGATGTTGGTTGTGACGATTGAGGTGATAATGATGATGATGATGATGATGCTGATGATAATGATAATGCTGATGCTGATGATGATGGTGGTCACGAGGACCATTACGGTTGTGGTGGTGGTGGCGGCGGCGACGACGATGATCATGATGCTGATTGTGGTGGTGGTGGTGATGACGATGGCAATGGTGATGGTGATGCTCATGATGACCAGGATTGTGATGGTGATGATGCCGATGCAATTGATGACGATGACGGTGTTGATGGACATGATGGTGATGACTATGATGATGATGCTTATGATGAGGATGGTGGTGGTGGTGATGATGGTCACGGTGATGATGGTGATGATGGTGATGATGATGATAATGATGATAATGATCATTATGATGATAGTCTGGGTGATGGTGTTGGCGGTGGTGATGATGTTGTCGTTACTGCTGTTGATGATGATGATGATTATTATGTTGATGTTGATGTTGATCATATGGGGTACGGGGGAGGGAGATACGGGTGGGGGGAGTAGGAGGAGGAGGGGGGGCTGGTGACGATGCTGGTGCTGATGATGTGGAGGAAGCGGATTTGGAGGAGGAAGGAGGGGAAAGGAGGACGCCGCGCGCCCCGCAGCTTTCTGGGACCTGTGCTTCGAGTTTGGGCTGGAGCTGGACGACGTCACGTCGGACTACGAGATCGCCTGCAGGGAGAGGGGCAAGGCCGGCCGTCACACCCGCCCCCGGCTTCCTGCGTTCCCATTCGATGCAAGGAGAGCAGAATCAGGTGTGAGGGGTCGACTCCTCCTCCTCCTTCTCCTCCTCCTCCTCCTCCTCCTCCAGGACGAGGAGGAGGGGGATGTAGAGGAGCAGTGGAGCGGGAGGCGGAGAGTGAGTGACGTGGATGAGGAGCATGAGGGAGGGAGGAGCAGGAGAGCAAGGCGGATGGGTGGCGGGCGACAGACAAGCTAGACCGGCGCAACTATGAGCAATATGAGCACGAGTCAAGTCCGTCATAACAGCATGTTTGCAAGCGTTGGCCCAACGGAGTGAGTGGTTGCACAGATTGCGGGAGCCATGCGGTGCAGTGCATACGGCACGATCTACGGTGTGTGGTTCGAGGAGCGAGGTGCAATCTATGTGGTGCAATATGTGTGGTGCTATGCGGTGTGTGCCACGTGGTGGAAGATATGTCGCGCAAGCTATCCGACCTGTGCACGGGGGCGCCCGAGAGGCGCCGCCGTGCACAGATCGGATCGC